CCTTCTCGTCCATGGAGATGACTAGGAGGGACTATGTTGCTATGGGAGTCCCTGGGAGCAAGAGACTACAAAGACGTATTGAGTTCGGTGAGAGACTCTATCATGATTTGGATCGATTGAGGATGCTGTGTGATGAAGTGAAAAACCGCGAGAGGGAGAAGTTAAAGGACGTGGAGACACTTAAAAGCATTGTTGACACTGTCTACTTCCCGATCTTCCCTCTGCTCTGGCCAATATTCGAGAAAGCTCAAGTGTAAGCATGATTCTTCTACTTTACCTCACGTGGTCTAACATCGCGGCAGGCTTGATGGCAAAGGTATCTTTCGACAAGGCCTGGCGTCTATTCGAACTAAGCTGCAAGAACGGTTCTATCCGTCGGTCGCTACCTTCTCCGCTGACCTGGCTCATGTCTTCACTACGGAGATTGGAGTCCAACCGGCTGGGGATACGGCTGAGCTTCAGATGCAGATTAGTGGTCGTGCACCAGAACTCAGCCTAGAGCAACGCGAGAAGAGAAAGCTTGCCAAGCGGATAATCAAGGCCATTCAGCCTTCTCTAGAAGATGCGATCAGGAAGGAGAGCGAATTAAACCGCAAGCCGTTTGAACAGGAGCTCAAGGAGCTCGATCTCATGCTAGAGAATAGTGTCATGTCCAGGCGGGGCTCCGAAGTTGATGCGCCAGAAACAGTTAACGATGAACAAGCATCTGCAGTACCAAATGGAACAGAGCAGAAGGTTGAGGAAATGGACGTGCTTGCTAAATCCGAGCCTGAAGATAGTGCTGGTGTTGCTGACGTGCCTGGGAACACAGCTACAACAGCTGAGCCTAGTGCGGCCGAGTCCAAACCCCCAGAGGCATCTACCGAGCCTCAAGTACAGCAGGACACGAACATGGAGGATGCACCCGCTGATATGCAGGATACAGAGCCTCAAAGTGCAGATGTGGCGCCCACAGTTGTACAGCCTACAATTGAAAATCAACCATCTGTCCCTGATCAAAACGGAAATCTGGAGAAAGAAAGTGTTGAGCCATCCAAGCCACCAGTGGAGACCCAAAATGGGCCGTTGACGCCCCCACCCAGTTTCAAAGGTGATCAACAATACCCGTTGGCGCAAGGAGGCATCCAGTGGTATATGCAACCGTTCGATCCCATTGGTACCACCATCCACGAGGAGCGGTGGACCGGGCGAGATGTGATGCGAGGGATGAGCGAGGAGCTCAGTGAGCTAGACGAGGAGGAACTAAAAGACCTGGTTGAAGATGAAGAGCTGGAAGGACAGATGGTCAATGGATCGAACGAAGCAGCAAATGGAGGCGATGCACCGACGCAACAGAGCGTGAAGGTACATCGGACTCGACGACGCTGGCGCGGATTCAGGTAGTTAGACGTACAGATGGCGGAGATATCATCATTGGTTTTGAGCGAACATTCTCTACACACCTACACATCATTTCTTTCTTTGCGTTACCCGGATTTCCCCTTTCTGCATGTTTGCTTTTCTTTCCTTGACTCCCTACTACTGCTGCTGTTGCTGCTGAGGGAATAAACATAGGCTGGCCAGGCGTTGGGTAGGTCAGAAACTGGGAATTTGGTGGATTAGAACAGTAGCCATTCTCAGGTAATGAACTTTACAGAATGTAATCATGTCAATTCGCATTCAATTTGTATTTTATTGTAGAGATATATAGCCTCACTCCATAGTGTGGAACAGTATTGAATGGCTGGTATGGAGAACGGCCTTGGCACGACGGCAGAGCCGCGGGCGGTCCAGAATGGCTTATGGAAGACTCGCCGCGCTCGACTTTCTTTCCCGGTTTCTCCCCCTTCTTTCATCATCACCACCGATTTCCATCTCTTCCTCCATCCATCCTTTTTGCCTTCCTCCCTTATCCCCCTTCTTCTCCTCTTCTTTCTAACCTCTCGGAAATCAGAGCCATATTAGCTTCCTGGCTTTCTGATATCCGCGTCGGATAGCTATCGGGTCCGGTTGTTGAATTTTTCTCCTCTCACTAGCACTTTCCTCGGTCTGCGTCGCGCGCGCGCCTTCTCATCCCTTTTCACCTCACTCAGCTCTCTCATTCGTCTTTTCGATTTCCGTCATTATGGCTACAGAGTACGATAACGAGAACGGTCGCTACGACGGTATGTCAACCGGTCATCTTGCCTCGCCAGCTCAGCTGATTTCCCCGGTAACATCATCACAACAATGCTGACTTGCTGCTGCTCAGACGAGCCCCGTTTCGCTCGCGACCGCAGCGCATCTCCTCGCGATGAGCCTCGTGCTGATCGCACCCGTAGCCGTTCTCCCAACGGTCGCGTCGATGACCGGTATGTTTACGTGCAGAGCTGGCTAGCTAGCTAGCTAGCCGTCCCCCAGACGCCAGCCAGACTGACTGGAGCTTCTTATTAATAGCGCCCCCATTGATCCCCGCAAGAACCTCGATGACGAGGAGGGTGCTATCAACACTGGATCCAACCTGTTCGTCACTGGTATCCACCCCCGTCTGACCGAGTCGGATATTTCGCGTCTGTTCGAGAAGTACGGTGATGTCGAGAACTGCTCGATCATGGTCGACCCCCACACCAAGGAGTCTCGTGGATTCGGTTTCGTCAAGATGGTTACTGCCGAGCAGGCCGACGCCGCTAAGGAGGGTCTCCAGGGCGAGGTCATCGAAGGCCGCACCCTGAGCATCGAGAAGGCTCGCCGTAGCCGTCCCAGAACCCCGACTCCCGGAAAGTACTTTGGTCCTCCCAAGCGTGGTTAGTTATTGTCCAGACTCCCTCTGTATCTTGATATACGGCTTATGCGTGTTCAATCTTGTTAGATTTCCGTGGAGGTCACCGTGGTGGCCGTGGCGATCGCTATGACGATCGTCGTGGTCCTTATGGTGGTAGCTGGCGCCGTGGTGACGACTACCGCTATGGCCGCTATGACTCCTACAGCGACCGCCGCGACTATGGTGGTCGTGACTACCGTGACTACGGTGGCCGCCGTGACTACCGTGATGACTATGGTTACCGCGGTGGTGGCAGCAGCGGTGGCATTGATCGCTATGCTTCCGGTGGCCGCGAGGACCGTTACAGCCGCGACGACCGTCGTGACGACCGCCGTGAGGAGCGTCGTGGCGGCAGCGGTGGTGGCTACTATGACCGCGATGCTAACCCCCCGAGTTACGGCTCCGCAGCTCCTGCTCGTGATGCCTACGCAGGCGGCGGCGGCGGCAGCAGCGCTGGCGGTGGCGGCCGTTCCTATGACCCCCGTGACGACCGTTACAGCACTAGGTAGGTGAAGTTTTGACTGATCTGGACGGTCGGAACAGGGCCCAGAGCACGTAACCTCGTCCAGTGATGGGTCTGTTTAGCCTCCGCGCTTCTTTCAATTTTTCTCCCCACGCCTTTTTGTTTTCTGTGACATTCCCTTACTTACCCTATTTCCTGGAATGGTTTTTAATTCCCAATACCCCCATTCGAATGGAATTGCGCTCAACGAGCTACGGTGGGGCGTCATCTGTTGTCTTGTCGAAAATGGAGAGAAGAAGTCTTCATCGCATTCACATGTCATCCGGCGAAATCGACATGTCACCGTTTATGCGACCAGTCGATCTTCAAAAGAGAAAAGAAAAACCAAGGGAAAAAAATAAGAAGAAAAAAGAAAAGGAGAATCCTATGTGGAGTCGTCGGCACTCCTCACACGCTGATGTTTTCTTTTGTTAAATTCGCTCGCAACACCGGAATATTTGGCGGCATGGGAAAGAACAAGAACTTTAACGTTGTAATTCCTCGGATTGTCAGATGGGTTCAGCACACTGCTACATTTCACTCTTCAACCCTTCCGGAAACTTGGTCGTTATCTCGCTAGTCAGCTGTTCGCCTTTGTTTGCGTCTTTGCGTCTTATACAACTCATCTTAACGTAACGACTTTCGATTGTATTCGGCCAGAAGCTTCCATAAATCTGCTCAGCCTGCAGAGGCTATTGCCCACACCCTGGATCCCGCTCTCTGCACCCGGCGGTCTGCAGGGAGGTCGACCAGTGTCGCGCGGCACCAGATCGCCATAGCGTTTGCGTTGTAGTATCGCCAGGGGAAGAAGTCCAATTCTCGCAATAGAGCCAATCCGATGGCAGCAGCAAACAAGTGGACCCTGTAATTCCGGGCGTCGGTACCTTTTTCCCCCGGTGCGATCGATAATCCGGCCATATGGAAGGGGTGGGGATTGAGGTAGGTTCGATCGGTCTGAGACTGATTGAAAATATGAATATCAGAATGCTACTATGCTCTGATTGACCTAGGTTGAGAGCAGGGGACATCTACGGGTGTCTCTTGTCCTTTTTCTTCTTTTTCTTTCCTCTCCATTTTTTCCCACCATCATCTCATAATGGCTAACTGCAGGGCAGCATGCTTGATATCTGTTGTTACCTAGATATTTCCGTTGCGTTTGGGTCTAGGGAATAAATTCGTTCTGTTTCAGATTGGTTCTCGCTGTGCTCCCTTGTAGCATTCCGTACCTTACATGGAGAATTTAGACCCTGGTTAAGGGCGTAGAGAGAATATAGACGTGTAAGCAAGAGTCTTATCTGATGTCTAGTATCTAGGCAACAGGCATTCTCCACTGACTGCCTGGTCCATAAGCAAACCCGTGCCTAATATGCCCAATACAACGGATATTCAGCCACCAAGCTAATCGTACATTTCCATCCATATCATAACCTCGTAACCGCATTATTTCCAAGCCAGTGAGTCAAAGATGCACTCACTCACTGCCCCAAGAAACAAGAACCCATAGCTAGCGTGCGAGCAACCTCTCCATATGCCAAAGCTATCCAAAACCCAACCATTCGGTCTATCTGTGTGGGGGTGCGTCTCAGACTGAACGACTAGAGTAGACTAGACCAGATCAGCATCCATCCATCTCCTTCTTGTTGCTCTTATGCAGATGAGATGAACCCTGAAAGTATCCGCTTCACGTACAGCAGCACATATTGATGTTCTTATGTATGCGTCCACTGAGATCTTAGCCAGCCTTTATTCCACCGTAGATGGTATGGGATGGTGTATGAGCTCGTTGATCGTCTCGTGTAACACATCACGGATCAGCACCAATGGTCGTTTGAACAAGAATGTCTACTCTGGAGTCTTCGATACACCCTGCTGTTCGATTTCATTGCTCTTCTGGATGAGGTATTCGCCGAGGACGCGGAGGGGGTTGGGTGGTCTATCATCATGTTATAGACACGGTCAGCTCGCATCCTTACTAGGTTCTTCACTTGGATAGGATACAATCAGAAGGTATCATGGTATACGCACTGCTCCTTCGCAACGACCGTCATTCCATCAAGAAGATGCGGCACGATCTTCTCATTCATGTATCTTCTAATCGGGGCGCCGCCGGGACGGACCTGGGTGGTGGTGGTGGTGGCGGAGGGAGTTGCAGCGGCGGAGTCAGCACCGGGGGTGTTTGCAGCGGAGTCGGAAGCCATGATTTTGTCTTTTTCGGGGTTAAGAGGTGGGTGTGGTTGTGATGATGATGGTTGTTGGTTCTGGGGAGGGAAGGGAGTGGTGGTAGTAGAAGTAGTAGATTGTATTGGAGGATTAGGTTGAGGTTGAGATGTTGCTGTTGCCTGCTGGAGGAGGAGACAATTTTAGTGAATGCTTGAAAGCGATCCGACGAGGAGAATAAATAGAATTGCAGGTGTCAATTGAGGTGAATTTGGTTAATGGGGGCAAATTTAAGAAATTCAAGACAGAAGTAAAACAAAAGCGGAGCAGTTGCAACTTGCTCCGCCTGTGGGGATCGCGACGGAGAAGTTGTACTGTGCTGTGTGGTTACTGGCAGTTCTGGGTTGTTTCTTACCGCGCTGTTATCGGCCATGGTTATAGATTTGTCTGAAATCTGATATCCTTGTAATTATGGTATGTTATTCGAGAAATATGTGATTATATTCGATGAAATTGGCCCTGCTGACTGCATGTGCTTCATCTTGTGCTTCGCAACATCAGCATCAGTGCAAACAGTGCAAAGTATATATGGTTGGTGCTTGTCCGAATCGGGATATAGTGGTCAGGTGACTTCGTGTCTTTCCGCGTCATGTTCTTTTTCCAGTAGCGAGATGCAGATGGAGAGGCTATCATTGCAGACTATGTGTTAGTAACTGCTGCTCGGGTTGCAGCATGTCCCTGCTGCACTACTGGGACACTCTTTGTCCTTCCGCAAAGCGCAGGAAAACCACCAAGGAAGAGACTGACACTGCCGATGAGAAAGACACACCCGACTCGTCTGATAGTCCGCTGATAAAGTCCTCTGAAACACCGCTGCCAGAGCGACTAGATTACAATCCAATTCCTGTTGAAGCTGGGTTTGGGGCTGCTGGAGATGACTCTGAAATACCACCAAACAGCCAAACCGAACTCGAGTCGTCGCTGCCTTCCATCCAGGCAGACAATCGCGCAATCGAGGAATATGAAGCTTCGCGCGCAGTTGACGACGACAACGAGCCGGACCTCCGGCAGAGACTGAGGGACGGTACATGGCGCAAGGGTCGGAGTTCGATCTACGTGGATGCGTTCAATCTGGCACTGGAAACTGTGCTGGATGAGGAGGCGCATCTGTTCGATGAGGCGGAGATGGAAGTGTTCAGGCAGTGGCGAGAACTGGACTATGAGTCTCAGTATTTGTATGTCTACCTGGTTTTATATTCGTAAGATCCTTAAGCTGACTGTGAAGGTATGTGCGTCTATTCCTCCGCAAGACCTCTGCCTGGCACCGAGTCAACCGGCTGGGTTACTACTCGGATATTGCAGACATGCCTCGAGTAGTAGCTGAACTGCGCCGCGCTCGCAAGCTTCCATCGGCATCTGAGGATGGAAATTCCACAGATGACACCGTCCCCGTTGATACGGGCTTCGTCTTGGGTCAAGATGGCGAGTTCAAATTCGCCGAGGAAATGGATCAGATAACCACGCTGGAAGAAGCGTCCTCGCTCTTACTCCTCGATGAGTTGAAAACGCTCGCGAAAGACGCCAAAGTAACAGGGAAGAGTAAAAAAGAGCTCATCACCGCTCTACAACGATCAAGTCAGAAACAAACAGGCCTGGACTGGAACAGTAAATCCAACGGCAACAACAGAGACGACCACTTCATCCAGAAAATTCTCGATTACACCGGCGACTGCATCCGACTGGCCTCCGGCCCTCGTGCCCTCTTTGAACGAGTCCATCTAGTCTTCTACCGGTCCACCGAATGGACCGAGAAATCACTCACCACCATCATCCTAGCAAAGATCTCCCGCAGAAACTTCCCAGAATACGTAGTCTGTCGAACCAACTCCATCTTCCCCTCGCGGAAGATCCTCCTAGAATCTGAATCCGCCCTGCGCACTCAATACCAAATCGACAACCTCCTCGAGTTCAACGGCACTCCCACCGTCGAACTGCTGACCCAGGTCAAAAACCTCGCGTACAAAGTCTATCCCCGGTGGAAAACCCTCCTCCACCAGGAACAACAAAAAGAAGACACCATCTACGATTACAATGAAGGCGCCTACCTCCGCCGTTTCTCCCCAGCATGGGTATACACACGCATCATCCACAAGGGCCTCCACCCCCTAGGCCGGTTTAAAGAGCACGAAGAGGAGCACCGTCTCCTCTCCGAACTCCTAGCCCAGCGCCTCTTCCACCCCGCCCGCCGCGGCGCATGGTACCAGCGCAAAGCCCTCCTAGAAGAACACTACCTCTGGGCCCTGAAGTCCTCTGAAGGACGCAACGAAGAAGCCCAACGCAAACACTGGCGCCGCATCGCCCTCCAAACCTGTGAAGTAGGCCTGCAGGACCCAGACTGCCATCTCATCTACCACTATGACCTCCAGAAACGAATCACCAAGCTCGAAAAGGCCCTCAAGGTCGTGAAACGCGAACAGCACGACTTCGGGCACGTCAGACTAGCCAAACCCGCAGAACGCACGATTGAAGGTATCCAGATCGAGCGTGACGAGCCAACCCAAACCCAACCCTCAACCCCAGCCGACACCACCACCACCACTACCCCTACTATCACCACCTCCTCCAAACGCGGCCGCCCCACCATCTGGCTCGACCCCCGCGACGGCGGCGAATGCCGCGTCGAAAGCATGTGCCTAAGCTGGTACCGAGACCGTGGCTGGAAGGGCTACCACTCCGAAGGAGGCATCATCAGAACCCTGTTCACCTACCTCTTCTACGACATCCTCTACACCTACGTCCCCAACGTCTTCCAAACGCCCTTCCAAACCAGCCCGCTAGATCTCCACACCGACGCCTTCTACCCGACCCGTCTCTCACAGATAAACCACCGGCTGGTGGAGATCACCAACGGCGAGTCGGAGCGGCTGATTCGCGCTGTCTATGCGGAGCAATCCCCGCGCCAGACATGCGCGATTGGCCTCGATTGGTCGTTTGAGTTGGATGATTTGGTTCAGATCGTTAGGTGTTTTCCCGGTGAGGCCCTCGCGGCTGTTTGTAGGGTCGTTGCCCAGGAGTATCAGGCTCGTGGGGGCGGGGTGCCGGATTTGTTGGTTTGGAGGGTGTATGATGGGGAGGACGGTAAGAGTGAAAGTGATGGTAATGGTGAGGGGAAAGAAGGGTACGGAGAGGTTATGTTCGTGGAAGTCAAGTCGGCGAATGATCGGTTGAGTGATTCGCAGAGATTATGGATTCATGTTTTGGCGAGTGCGGGGGTGAGGGTGGAGGTTTGTAATGTTGTTGCTAAGGAGGTTATACGGTCGTGATATATACCAACCAGTAATTAACTTATACATGATAGAATATACAGCTACACTCAAGTTACAACAACTACGGTACTAATAAAGTTAGTAGAAAGGTAGTATGTATGTGGTCATAAGTTTTTTATTTCATGACTATCGACGGAATCAACCCTTTCCAGATCGACCCAAATCAACCACAACGACAGCCACTTCACCACAACAACTTCCAACCCCGCACAAGAAGATGTGCACGCGCTTAAGCGACGAGGGTGGAAGCAGTGGCGGACTCGTAACGCCAGGTGGGGGGGAGGACACCGACGGACTTGTAGTAACGAGACAGACGGTGGATACGAGACTCGATGAGAATCAGGCGGAACTTGCTGTCCTTGTCCTTGCGGTTACGCTCAAGGTGCTTGCGGACGGCGACGGCCTAGCCAGAATTGTTAGCATGAACTCTACTATTGTAGATCAAGATAGTGGGGGGATTGGCATACCTTCTTGATGAGGTGGTACAGGTCCTCGGGGAGCTCGGGGGCAAGGCCTGTTGTAAAATCACTCTGTCAGCCTGTGGTTTGACCAAGCAGAGGCATACGGGATCACGCAAAAGAAAACCCTCCAACTTCCCAACTGCATTTCTGCGAGATTGGGGTTGGAAGTTTGACTTCTGGTGCCCTCCAATTTTATGGACATGTTTGTGGTATGTGTGTGTTGTGCAGAGATGGTGAGAGGCAGAGAGAGCCGGGATTGCTGCGATTGCGATTGCGAGACTGCAATTGTGGGTTTGCGAGTGTGTCATGTCGATACGGAGTAGAGTCCGAGAACGATTCCGGGTATGTTTCAACCTCATTCTCTTGTCCCTCTTCTTCTTCACTTCCGTGCAGAATATATATCGTATCGATTGTCCATCAATAACTCGAATCGAAATCGCCGGATATATTCCAATCCGGGTCCTGCGGCTGCTGCTCTGCTCGCGCCCATTCCTGCCATATTTCACATCCACAACATGCTCATGCAACTGGTGCGACTGGTGAAAGGGAATAATATGTCGGTGATGTCGTACCGTTGGACTTCAAGATACGGAGGATCTTGTTACCTATTCACATTCCATATATTAGTATCCTTTCCCATCCCTCACTTTTATTTCTAATATTCCAGAGGAGGTTTCTTACCAGTGACAGTCTTGACCTGGGCAACACCGTGGCTGTCACGGAGGACAACACCGATCTGGGAGGGGGTAGCACCCTTCTTGGCGAGCTTGCAGATCTGCTCAACAACCTGCTCGGTGGAAGCCTTGAACCAGCTCGGGGGAGTGCGAGAGTAGGGGAGAGCGGAGGACGAAATGCCCTTTCCCTTAGAGTGAAGGCGACCCATTTTGATTGATTGGTGGTGTTGACGGGGGGGTGGTTGTCGAACGGGTTGTGAGTGAGCTGGTCGAGTATCGAAAAGTTCGAAGAGGACGAGGTTATTTTTTCGTCGGGTGGATTTTGCGATCGTGGGTCACGTGGAATCCAGATTTGCTGGTATTGTTGTGGGTATGGTCATGTGATGTGGGAGTTGGGTTCGCTTATTTTTTCTTTCCGGCGCTTTTTAAGCTCCGTTTTGACTTTCTTTAAGTCTTGGGTTTTTGTTTCTTGTGGTATGCCAGCGAGCTGCTTTGAGCTGCTGCAGAGTTTATGATGCTCTGATTTCTTCGATTTCGGCTATATGGTGAACAACTAATTGATACAGCTACATTGCTGGCAATCTTGATATTCAGGTTAGTTTTCACTCTATGTTCTTTACGCTCTGCTTTACAGGATGAAACACACCTTACTTTTTATTTTTCTGGTACCTCTTATGTCAGAGATAGGCTTCGGTCTATCTCGATGATCTAAATGGACTTCTGATATCCTTTCATTTCGCAAAATGTTATGTCATGGGAGTTGAGACGCATTGTGCTGACTCGCATCAAGATAGGTTGCCAATATTTGATTCGATGATATTCTGGTGTCAAGGGATGGGCTTAATAGTGCAATATATCGATGAATTCATATTTCTCAACGGAACTACGGTGTTTTCCCTGCTCGTGTAGATCATGGAGTTCGCGCGATCCCATATTGTAAATGTACAGGAATGTAGAGGATTGGCGAGACAATGTCTTGAGCATGCAATCCGACGGGATGTCTGCCCGCTGCCATCGCTGAGTCCTGTCGTGTTGCAGCTTTATACTACTGAGTACTGCGATGGCACCGGCAATGCCTTCTACACGATGAGCCATTTCACGATCGCAAAGACTGCTTTAAGAGAATCACGCAGCCTCGTGGAATCGTAAAGCTCATCATTCACCGTCCAACAGACAAGTCATCATAGCTGCACATCTCCATGAGTGTCAAGCAAATGCAAGCAGTATCACACCGCAACGAGGCAACGCTTTCAAGACACCCAGGTGCATCCGCTTCGACATTGCATCTCTCACCCCACATACTGTTATCGGTTTTCTAGATTTCCAGTGTTTTCCGCGCGACGCCCTAGAAAATCCGACGACATAGTGTGATTTGTCCATCAAGATTCCAAATCAACTCACATAGACGCGCAGACGGACGAACCATGGTCTGCTCTGCGACGTGCATCAACTGTTGCTGCGAACATCCTGTAGCCAGATAGGTAGTCATGATGCGATTTGTCTGCCTATCTAGTTGTCTGCCTCGTGCAGCAACTCCGAAACAACAGTAGACCCGCATAAGCGTAAGCGTAAGCCCTAGCCAAGTAGCTACACGGTAATATTCTGTGTGCATAGTTGAAGCCAAGAAGACCATTCGCTTGGGCATGGAAGCCTGCGTTGTGGATTGGCGATGTGTCATATCCTAGCAGCAGTAGCAATAGTGGGCCGTGGACACCAGCCGTTGGTACGGAGTAGTGATGATTGAGTCACTGACAGGCTTCACTCAGCCCAGCCTGATGTGACCGCCAGTTGTGGAGCATAAAAGTAGACAAGTGGGTATCAGCAACACGTTTGTGTTCGAAACGAGGAGAATAAGATCGAATCGTACTTTGTTCGTACGATAGAAGCGGCCATCTTCCGTGTTGTGCGCGATCAGTAACACTATACTCTGTACACCGTAAGTACTCCATAGACTGGAGAATATGCAAGTCTAGACCAGGGACCATAAACTTGGAGGCGATCCAGGTCCATGATTCGACCACTCCATGAGCTGTGCGTTGACGTCTGATCCCAGAGATCGCCAAATCAGACGGTCGAGTGCGACCGACTCCAGGGCACGGCGCGGAGAGGGGCAAGTGCAAGGGCAAGCTGAGCCCCGTATGTATCACCATTCATCAATGAGAGATCCGTAGCAAAGGACGGAGAGGTGAGATCGTGGGTACCGCGAGCGAGCGTCGGTCTCCACGCGTTGTGACCGGTCAGCTGGTGATGAGCCTATGATCGCCCCCGTCACCGTCACTGCTGGATGGCAGCAACTGATTGGCTTGCCCCGTTCATCCACAACTGATGGCGCAGTTGCACGAGCTAGATACTTCGTGCGGGATCTGAGATGGATCGCTGGGATATGCTGGGGGGCGAGAGTGAGAATTGCCTCTTGCGGCATCCGAGTCCCGATACGCCATGTCTTTGCCTTCATTGCATGACCTGGTGGGGATCTCACGGTCGCTGCTGTTCTGCGGGCTGATTTGCCCCGCTAGTAGAGCTGACCGTATACAAAGCTACACTAGTCAAGACTCGAGAGGGAGAGGTAGCACAGACATCACAGATAGCTGAAAGGATGTCCAACGGACGACCAGTTGGATGATTGATTTCCCTCATTTTGCTGATTCGTCTCCTGCCAACTGGCTTGGCGGCGAGGTTTTGTTCTGACAGCCCTATGAGCTATAGTGCAGGTAGTCCCGGCTTACTATTGGATTCCTCCCGGGGAAGTAGCTTCCAAACACAATAAGCAAATAGGAGAATTTGAGTTCTCTTCGTCAGGGGTACAAAGGGATAATTTCATGCGTACATCTCGTATTGTTTGTTGCTTATTGTGTGTCTGTAGATACTAGTAGTGATCGTCACGTTAGTATATCAAAGTCACCAGGGGGTAAGGGACTAACTATCAGAATTTTCCATAGTATGTACTTTAGTTGTCTCACTAGCAATGCATTGCTTTTGCTGCCACCATACAGATGTAAAAGTACTGCGTAGGTCGAAAGGAATCCTTGATTATACTACATAGTATGTAATAGATAGCGGCCAGACCTGCATGGCACTGCCAATTAGTCTATGATAGACCAGAAATCACTCATGCAAATCTACCAACTACCAAGATAGCGACATACTTCCAGAAGTTGAATTTGAATCCAATAGCAAAAACCCGATTGGGAAAGTCTAATCAGGAATCCGCGGAAAAGACACGAGGAATACTTTGGATGGAAAGTTCTACGACGGATGAAGCTTCGATACGAAAATCGATTGCGTCTGCAAAGACATCGAGATACCTCCCGTGCAACCCTGGTTAAGCTATAACTTAGTATCGACTGAGTTAAGTTAATCTCTCGTATTGCGGGATGCGCGGGAGCAATGCCGATGGACGGGATGGAGGCATAATTGGAGACTGACAGTTTCATCCACCCGGCAAACTTAGTCAGTGCTATGGAGGAATTAATTAGTTAGTTGGTAGCTATTCTAGACTCGGGTAGAGGGCAAGATAGCCAAGCGAAACACATTGTCGCAAAAGGCCCCATCCAAGTGGGAATTTGAAAAACTTTGTAATCTAGCTAAGTCATGTACTTTTAACTCAAGACTAGAAGCCGCGAAGAGAATGTGGCAAATGTTTATTTCCTATTCTTGACGAAGCCATTTATAGAAATTCTCCACGTGTGGTTACGTCTGTCATGTCGTGGTGTACGGAGTAGATAGTTAGGACTATGGAGTAGGTCAGTCAGTTGACTATCTCTCGGTCGGTGTTCGGGATAGATACACGAATCCATAGGCTGGACGAACAATGGGATTGTGGGAAGAAGCGAAATCGAAATCGACATGGACAAAAATCTAGCACCCGCCCGTAGATTCCACTGAAAGATTGAAGATCGGTATATACCCAGTCCTGCATCGAACAGCTGGCTCACTTTCTGTCCACATTACCCAATGAGGGAAATAAGCATACCCCCTTCTCAAAAGCTTGGTCTACCGAATCTCGCTACCCAGTTTCCATTGTTTTCAAGGTTCTTCCTGAGGAAATTGATAGCTATTACTACCGAAGTCGATCAATGCTGATATGCAAAACCCACTTCTATCAACCGGAACAAGGCTAGAGGAACGTCAATCCATACTGTATCACGCAAAAGCTCCAGGCAGCTAAGAAGGGGAAGCTAAACTAGTATACCAGACTTCGGTGCCGGGAGTGGATGCCCTAAATTTAGCCGGACGAGGGAAGGTCCCCCCTCGGTAGACTTCAACTACCGTGACTTGCTTAACGAACAAGAAGGTTGATGTCGATCATAGACCCGCGGCAAATTCCCGCGCAACGGGATATCTAGACCATCTGTTTTAGCGATGAGGGTTGGTTGGGGATGATGAACCTGCACTAACTGGACCCGATATGCGGCTACGGCAGAGTGGATGCAGGTCCGTGTGGCAGTTCGAGGAATGGATGCAACCTCGATGGCGATGGGCACAAGTCCAGCGGTCGCGGCACGATGTAGTAATACTAGAGGAGTCGGTTGGTCCATGCGCCCGCCGCCACTGGGGCATCGATCTAGATTATACACGGTATGCGGAGGGGTTTTTGCAATTGATGCCCGTGCCGATGACGATGGCAGTGCGACAGAGGCGTCGTTGTTGAGTTGCATTACTCCTGTGCTTACGTGCTGGGTTACTAAAAGTACTTTACTTGGCTGATGATTGTGTTCAGGAGTGGACCTTTTTGTCCCTGAAGTCCGTGGCTACACAGTCAGGGGCACAGATGGCAGATCTCCTTTGTTTTGAGTCACACCAGGTATCAGATGGCTCAAGATTGAGAGACCAGGGGGTAAAGCAAGAAAAAAACAACCAAGATATCTGCAACATAACACAGAGTAAATCCTGGGAGTTATGTAACGTGACCACAAAAAGACCATTCAATTCCCATGGAACCACTATCGAGTCAGAACCCGGCTATGGGGAGTTTAGAGTCTCGTGGCAGGTCGACCCTCACCCAGGGGCAAGGGCTACTGGCCTACTGCAGACTACGATGGATACAGGCAGTAATCGTCGCGACACTCGTGCGAAGCCGGTCGAACTCAAAACGACCAGGATGAGTCTTCTAGTGGCTGGGAAGGTTGCTGGTTCGGGTATAGTGGAGGTTGATCGAAGTGCCTTTCAACCCCTGCCTGCATACGAAGCTCCTCCGACGCACTAAGCAGAGGCACTCACTGTAAGGTACGCGGATGGTTGCTGAGTTTTTTCCCTCGTGCAGGCTGTTGGCCAGTCCAAGAAATTCTAAATTTTTACCTCCCGAGGGATTGTGGGAATGAAATCCTTAACCTTGGCCAATAATCATCCTGCAGTAGGGACGATGTGATGTGCTCCATAATATACGAGATATGAAATTTTTGTAGAGCAACTCCTGCCCGAAAATGGGGACGCAGTCAGATCCCCATTATTGCAGCAAAAGACTGGAAAATAATGGGATTGTTATCGTGCCCTAAATCAGCACACGCAGAAAAAGAGGCGGCGGATAACTTGTCACTAACGTTTAGGATGACTTGCCCCCTCAAAAAAGATAGCCTAGACTAGTGAGTTTCATACCCCGAGAGGAATCAATGGCTCACTATCTCATCACTAAGAGAATTATGGAAGCCTCCCCCGAGAGATCCATGGATGGCTGGGTGGGTCTCCCCTCTTCCGCAGCAACTAAGTAGCCGACTCCGTTAAGGAAGCAGTATCTAAACGAAAAAGGCCCAGCAAAAAGCTACGGCGCAGGTCCAGTCGGTATTTCGACGGCCAATCAGCAAGACGAAACCACTCCGATCCATGCAGATGCAGGCATCGCCAATTTACCCAAAGGCGTTAGAATCCTGGCGTCGAAGCCAGTGTCAACCAGAATCAACTCAAGTCAACCAACGTCCGCGGCGACGGCATCTGATTCCCCGCTCGTGGTCTTTGCCCTACCACCGTCTTTCAGGCCTCTCGTTCGTTCGTTTCCTTCCTCTCCTGATTCCACCTGGTCCCCGATGCTACTCACTAGCTCACTTTCTTTTTTGATTTTATTATTGGTTTTTCGATTTTCTGTACTGCCTCTGCGCCTCCCAGTCAATTGGAACCCCGACGGAGCTTGGGACTCGCTCCCTCTGTCTCTCTTTGCCCAGAATGGGCGTTGTCGCACGAAGCCAGTCGAATGGAGTGCAGCGACTCCACCAAGCCCATCAATGCCCCTGGTGCCAAACCTTACCGTAGTCTCTCTCTCGCCGTTCCGAGCGATGGAGGGGAATTCCACCGTCTATCGTCAGAACCCAATGAGCGACGTCCCAGACCATGGCGACGCTGCGTTGCTCTTGTGTGAACGGACCTCCTATCAGTCCATGGCCATTGCCCCAACCAATCCTCTAGTGGTGCCCAGAACGGTACCATCTTTCTGGTCGTCGGTACATCATCCATTGCCCTAGCTCGTAGTTAGTATATCTGATCAGCCTTCCCACCCCCCATGTCCGTCCGCGCCCACCTGCCTCTTGCTCCCCTCCCTTCCTACTAGTATCATGCGATAAACCACAAGGCTGTCTGTTCGATCGAAATCAATCGTTCCACGGCCGTGAGCCTCTTGCGCGGGGTAACCACGCCTGGCACAGTCACTAGTACAGTATTGTCGATAATCTCGCCACTCGTTTGCCCCCGAGGGACAGGACATGACCCTCCCCGAGCCTCTATCGCATCCGTCCCATATTCACGAAGATTCCTACCACTATGGCCAACGAAACATTGTCTGGATATTGTCCGACTCCTTTCCTCCAGGAGTCACTGTTCCCATCGAAAGGTGGATGTACGCTATCCCTTGCTAGTGTGGACCCAATTGCCGGTGACAGAACTGATCGTGTGCTTCGTTGCAGTCATTGATGGACGGTTTTGTGAGGAGCTTACCACAGAGCATGGCAAGGTCTCTTGCTGTCTTCCATGCCCATTGGCAGAATGGACCTATGGCGAAAGTAAGTCCACTGCGCACTGCTGCCAGTATTCGAGAATCCTAGCTAACCAGAAATTGTCGCATCCAGAATTGATCTCCCAAACCAAGGTGGCCAGTTGGCTTGGTGTCGCTACATTGCCCCTGTGCATTTTCCTCCTGGTATCATTCGCCGTGCTGCCCCCGAAATGGACGCATCGTCATTACCTGAGCATCTGCTTCACCCTGGGAATCTGCTGTATGGAGGTGGGTAGACTGCCATCGCGAATCAACTGCCCTATATTGACTCAATTCCCAGATCGCCTTCATCATCCCGCTAGGAGTCAAGCCAGAGCAATGCTACAACCAAATCACCCCCAATGACATGCACACCGACTTGTCATGCGCCTTTACTGGAGCCCTGCTCCTCTTCGGAGGCTGGGTATGCGTCGTATTCAGTATGCCTCCAAACCATCCACCACCACCAGCAACAACCACTAACCAGCGACTACAGGTTTCATCCGCACACTAGCCTTCCACCTCCAAGTCTGCTGGGAAATCATGCTCGGCCCGAAATTCATGTGGACAGCACTCATCCTAGGCTGGGGTATTCCCGCCGTCGGTCTGACTGAGATGCTCATCCTGACCGGAGTATCCTACCGCTTCGGCACCGTCTGCCACATCAACGTCCACGACAGCAACAGAGACTACTGGGCGCCCGTCGTCGCATTCGCCGGAGCATCCCTCTTCCTCCAATTCGCCACCCTCGTCTACTGCATCTACATCTACGTCAAATCCATCTATGACGAGGAAACCTCCACCACCAGCTCCGGTCTTCCTTCCTACTCCGCCAGCGTCCGCACCGTCACAGCCCGTCAAGCCTACCGTCGCGTCCGCCGCGTCCTGCAACTCCAATGGCGCGGTGTCGCCCTGGTCCTCGTCATCTTGACCAACGTCATCTTCTTCGCCGTCGTCTTCATCAAGACGGATAACCATCTCACCTCCACCGTCGCTAATTTGAAACTCGCCACCCCCTGGCTCACCTGTCTCGTCGAAACTAAAGGCAACGTCCAGAAATGCTACAGTGAAGCCGAAGCTATCGTCCCGAACAAAGCCACCCTCCTCGCTGTCCTGATTCTACTGGCGACGGTCGGCTTCTGGAACTTCGTCCTCTACGCCCGTCCTTCTATCTTCGTCGGTTGGGCAGAGTTCTTCAAAGCCCGCGTTACGAAACCCAATGAGTTCGTCTCTGTCGATGCGCGCAGAGGGACGCCTGATCCTCGCGCTTACGAGATGATTTCCGGATCGAGCCTGCCCCCGTATAAGACCCCTGAGCCAGTTGTGCGGTCCCCGAGTCCCGCACGGACGATGGGTGCCCGTAGTCCAGAGGCAAAGGGAGGACAGCACTATGGTCGCGAGGCTCGTTATGTACGGCCTTCGATGAGTTTCTCATCTCCGAGACCACCCAGCGCAACGCAGAATGGCACGGAACGTGAATGGGACCCGGAAGCTACATTTGCGAAGAGCCATTCACAGAAGGGGTCGATATGATGCAGTGGGATTGGCGGTTGTAACATGGTTTGGTTAGGTTTCTTTGTTAGCATGGGGCGCATGGAAAGCCGCTCTATATTATTATTATTATTACTGTGTGATGTGATGTGAGACTACTAACTGTTTAAGGCTGGATTTGATGTTTTTATATACCCTGATGCATTGATGTTTGTATGTATACAATACCCTTAGAAGAAGAAGAAAAAGAAGAAATGATTCATTACACATACATCAATTCCTTCCACATTCTATGACTCTTACAGGAGGAGAGTAATTAGTAACCATTCCTGCAATGCCACTACGGTAGTACAACGATGGAAGATAACCCCGGTCCACCCCCAAACCTTAACTCTCCCCAACGGTCTCGCAGTCAGTCACTCAGACTACTCAGTCAGCATAATGAAATCCTTTCGGCTAACTAACCACAAAGTAATTAGTTATATCTGAATCCCCCGCAGGGCTAACACTAATGCTAGTAATTACTTACTGCCAGCGACAAGCGGAGATGGCACCACCGCCACCACTAAATTTAATCCAATTCTTTTCTTTTCTCTCCTCCGGTCTAGAATCTCTTGGCTTGTTCTTCCCCTCATTTCATTTCTCTAGCGTAGCATTGCTAAGTGACATGACATGACTAACATGACTATCTTTCTCCCTTTTTGTCGAACTCAATTCAGTATGAGTTCGCCCTTTGCTTTGCATGCTTTTTTCATTTGGAGGCGTTGGATCATCGGATCATCGCTGCGAGTATCCGTTCTTGTCCTGTGTATGTATGGCACAGACACGGTCACAACGGATGTTGGGATCGGGATTGTGATTGTGATTGATGAATGCCGAGGCAGGATGCACAAGCACACAGTTATCATCCTGGGAGTTTAGCTTGTAAGGTAGGTTGAGGTAGTTGATGGCATAGCACGGCACTCCGGCATCGGATGGATGGATGGTTATAAACCCTGTAGGTTATACTAAACCGATTAGGTAGTCAGCCCCGTGTGAGGTGGCTGTATGGTTTACTGTCTGGTTTTCTCTTCTTTCTGTGTTATACTTTTTGTGTTTTGAACGGGTTCATATATTTCATGTTAATCTTGGAGGTGTCTGTGGAACGTAAATTGGTTCAGGCACTGGGTTCAGGTAGGTGTGTGGTGTACATGTTACGTATGTTTGATTGAATTGACTGTATTCTAATGACCGGGGTTGTAGTAGTGAAAGCACACGTGCTTACTGCTTACTGCTTACTGCTTACCTACATGCATACAGAGAATGTATAACATCACTCAATATAGTATCTCCCCCGCGGGGAAACTGGCCAGACTATTCTCTAATTTATTTTACTAGGTACTAAACGGAGTACTCCGTTCCAGCCGAGCAGCCAGGGCAAAGCCAGTAAGTAGGGTAGCGGGTGTGAGATCCTTCCCTGACGCACAGAACTGGTGTATATTAAGCCGAGGAGTAGAACTGCTACGAAGTACGTACTCCGTGATAGTGAATCATCAGTTGAGGGATTATTATGACGGGAGTAGTGCTTACCATCTTTATGAGTATTATTTAGTACTATGTGATTGAGTTACGAGTGTAGCTGAAAATAACTAATGTAAGTTCTATGTGTGTGGGGACTATAGCACTATGTGTATACCCACTATACATTCAAGTATCTACAAAGTAGTTACAGAGTCAACGGTGCATACCTTCCGAGGAACTAATTACTCGCTTCTCTGCTAGAACCAGACTAACCATCGGGGACCAGAGTGATCATCATTCGGGGTTCAATCGACTAGGAAATCGATCGTCCTCGGGTTCTGCATGTTTTGCCGTGTGGGAACGTGTAATGTGCCGAGGGACACTTAACTGTTCGTAGTACTAGTAGTAGCGGAATATGTGATTGGGTTCGGCAAGTGGTTCATTGCATGCTTGGTATCGCTTGGTTTGACGATATTGGGGGCGGTACTTGAACAAAAATGAAGATTAATGGTTGATTATTGTAAGTCTATAGTTAGCAGTAGCTACCTACTATTACCACTTATCAGTATGAGTATATTTCTTTCATTAGTAAATTCTACAGGGTATATTGAAGGATGTTTTTTCATCAACTCTACTCGAAGTTATATCATAGGCTCATAGTACTAATCAGTCAGACACTGTATTGTTATCCAAGACACTCTCGCATCAACCAACTAGACAGTATGTCAAGTCAATATCAGTGTGGGCGATCGACACATATATCCACGTTTACAACCGAAATTTGTACCCGAACTCATACGCACAATGACCTTCAGTTAATACGAGTTCTGTGCAGGAGTGAGACAAGCGATATTCACCAACTTGTCATTGAAATCAACGTTGTAAAGACTACTCATTCCAGGAGGGCCAATCGTCTTTGTAGAGGCGTCCTCAGTCATACTAAGGCACTGCCATCTTTGTCTTATGTTAGCCTTATTTGCATGATTAACATTCGGATTGAGCTTACTCTGTAAGAAAGCATTGCACACCGTCAGGAATCTGGATAGATGAAACTTGGCTGGCCCTTTGTTTTATTAGAGAAGATGTCTATAGTAGGATATATTTCGCATTGACGACTTACAAGTCGGGCTGGAACTCGCTGAGAGCATGGCAGTGGTTGTCTGCAGGAACTTGGACACTGTCTCCTTCGTAATACATGTCTTTCCATATAGTAACCTATAGTATATGTAGATTAGTAACAAGCATGGATGTACTATCTGACATGAGATGAGTACCTGAGAGGTGGTCTGTGCCATGGCAAATGACAGCAGACCGAGTAAAGGAAAGAAAGCGCGAGCGAGCCGAATCTTTCTGGAAGTCAAGTATCGAAGTGGTAGAGACTGCAATAAGTTTGAAGGAGCATACTTAGCTTGTGGGTTCATTACAAGGTTGATGGTTGCATAACGCAATTAGTATTTATATGATAGAGCCAACACTTCTACAAATCATTGTATCTATAGAGATATGAACAAGCATGTTCTACTGACAAATCACTGAACTGCTCCTGACGATCGTGTAACATGCCTCTCACTCCTTGCCAACTTCAGCTTCGCCACGGATTTCTTTAGCATTGACGGCCAGTCAGCAAATGCCTATGAGATACTACCTAACATGCCTCCTCCTTGTCGCTTCAGCTGCGCCCCGACATGCTTCTTTACACTGTAGATATGTACTACCATTAGATGAACACGAGAATGTGATAATGTAGGTAAAGACTACTACTAAATCGGCAGCATATGGCATGGAGATGTATGGGATGACCGTCAGGGGTATTCGACAATACCTCCAAATCATCTACTTCAAGCATGTCAGATCCAAGTTCATTCGCTATGATACATCGTAACCCCCTACACAGTACTAGAAAGCGCATCGCAACCACCACTGTCCTCCATCTCCAGTAAATTTAACTTCCAGTACAGATTGTTGCATCGTCTGCCCCAGGCATCGTCGGCCTTGAATCAATTACGCGTCATGAAGTGGCAATGAAAGATAACAAAGGAAATAGAATGATATAAGAAAAATGGGGATATGTGTATAGACCGTCCATTCTACATTACCATGCGTTGACGTCGAAGTTTTCCTGCACGGGTTAGCAAGTAAGTAAAATTATTGACTCAACAGGTTGGTCTTACCTCGGAAAAGTAGGTTGTAACCACAGTCCGGTCCGAGAACTTCCTGCCCGCAAGCGCCTTCAGAGCATTCGTCGTCGATTCCACCGTGTCGAACTTGACAAAGATCTTGCCCACTCCTGGCGACTGTCGGCTGCCGCCGGTCGGACGAGGTACCTTCAGCTCAACTACAGTGCCGTACTTGGAGCATTCGTCGCGTACGTCATCGCAGATTTCTATCCCATTAGTCAAACGCTTCTTCCATGCATCAGGCAAGCTTACCTTCGTAATCCTCAGGGTCCATCAACTCCTCCGGTGTCACCATGTTGAGCAACTGCAACACGCGGCTGGTCTCCAGGTCCTGAGACGTCGTCTTGGCGAACATCGACATCGCGTTGACGCCCATGTCGAGGCCTGCAGCCTGTGTCATTCCGATACTGGCGCGCACAACCTTGAGGTGTCTATCGCCCAGCTCCATTCCATTGAGACCTTCCACCGCAATCGTTGTTGCTGAGGGATCGGCATACTCGCAGAATGCAATACCCTATTCATGTCAGTACACTTCTTCGAGCTATTTGATAAGGTACCTACCCTAGACTCCTCCGTAGAACTGTCCTTTACCAAAACAAACGACTTGAGCTCTCCGAAAGACTTAAGAAGCATCGTCACAGGCTCTTCGGGGATGTAGTTGGGAATGTTAGACACGCAGATCTTGTTGGGAGAGTCAGGAACCTCATTCAGCAACACGCCTTCCTGGTATTCCTGCTCTGCTCCACCAGGGACAATGTAATCCTTGGGTCGTCGCACTTCCAGGCCCTGAGCGGCACCATTAGCGGCACCATTGCCAGCAGCTTCGTGTTCCTCCATCGCTATTCCGTCGAAAGCAAGCGCAACTGTAGCGTCATTGGGCGACTTGAATTCGAGCAAGGCGAACGAATGGTCCTGGGCCACCTGGGCCGAAATGCAAGGATCCACGCTCTCGATAACGTTGAGGCCATTGAGCTGGACGTTGAAGAAGGCCAAAAGGGTCTCCCCGGTGACAGACTGGGGAATGTTGTAGACAAAAAGACGCTTGGCCTGGCGAGAGTTGGAAGGCTTGAGGGTAGATGTGTCCGCGTTGCCGCCGGCGGGCTGGTTCATGAAAGCTTGAAGGCGGCTGGGGTCCATCGGCTGCTGTCGGGGGGCTCCAGGAAGGGGGAACATGCCTGCAAAATAACTACATTAGACCACATAGATAACAACGAAACATCAATCTCACCTGACAGCTTCGCCTGCTCGGCAGTAACATTCTCGTAGCCCGGAGGCTTGATATCCCACTGCGTCAGGCGACGTTTCCGATCCAGCACCGACACGATATCTGTGAGATCGGGAGTGGCCTCCCTCTTTCGAGGAGGCGACGCACTCCGTCTGCGCTCCCCTCGCTCGCCACGGTCGCGATCTCCGCGTCCACCACGCTCTGCACGCTCTCCACGCTCACGCTCGCGGTCTCCCCTGCCTTCCCGTCGGGGTCTATCCTCGAACAGATCTCTGTCTCCCCTTTCGCGGCGGGAGGGTCTATCTTCGTATTCTCTGCGTCGGCGATCACCGCGATCACCACGGTCACCGCGATCCCGATCCCATTCCCGGTCGTCTCTGCGGCTAGAATAACGGTCCTCGCGTTCTCTGGCGCGGTAGTCGCGGCTGGACGAATACGAATCTACCTCATATTCGCGTCGGGAGCTTCTGGAACTGTAGTGGGGGGATCTCGAACGTCTTCTCTCTCCTCTCTCTGCTCTGTCGCCGCCGCGCTCGCGACGCTCTTCGCGCTATCGTTCACTTCAGTTAGCTCCGGGCAGATACACCCTTGTTTAATTTTCACTCACGTAGTAGTCCCTAGGGCGACCAGAATCTGCGAAATGATTGTTAGCCACCATACGCGGCAGTAAATGAAAGGGTGAAGATAAAGCCCACCTCTGGACGTGTACGTATCGCCGTTCATTCTGAAAGCTCCGGCAATATTTCTTTGGCTCTTATTTTCCCGTTTCACGTGGCGAAAGGGATGGACAGCGAATAATGGTCGGAGAGAGATCCAACACGATCAGACACTCCGAAAGGCAAGCTCGATGGCACCGAAGGATGGAAGCAGGGTGATCGGGGAGAAAGTAAGAGCTGCGCTGGAGGGAAAACTCGCAGGTGACGATCGGCGACACTCCCGTCCGAATTGGTTAGCGCCTCTGGTCTGCGGAGTCCTGACCGCCTGCTGTGTCGGCCAATCTTCCTGGCAGAATTAACTTATCGCGATTATCGTGCCTTTCACATTCGCCTTCCTCAGCGACGGGCTAATAGATTCTCAATTCACCTGAATCATGACTGTCGGCGCCTTTTCAGAATGGCGCAAGTTGCCTGTGAGCCTCAATGAACTCTGCATCAATACCACCCTCCGCTGTGGTCAATCATTTCGGTAAAATAACCGCAAGTACCCTCCTCGTCTTCCCCGATATTCAGTCTAACAAGGTCTTCATATCATCTACAGATGGCACAACGTCCCTGACACAGACGAATGGCGCTGCGTTCTCCACGGCCGTCTCCTCTCTCTGAAACAAGACCCAACCCATCTCTACTACCGAACCTACCGCACCACCCAATCCCCTAAACCCAAGAACAATGACGACGACACCACCCTCTCCCTCCTAACCCATTACTTCAACCTCTCCGCGAACCTCACCTCCCTCTACACCGAATGGTCTGCCCAAGACCCCAACTTCCGCAAAAAAGCCCCCCAATTCACCGGCATCCGCATCCTACGCCAAGACGCCTGGGAAGCCCTGATCTCCTTCATTTGCAGCAGCAACAACAACATCGCGCGCATTTCGCAGATGGTCGAGAAGCTCTGCCTTAACTACGGCCCCTTCATTGCATCTATCAATGGTCGCGCCTATCACGGTTTCCCGGCCCCGGATGCCCTGACCGCTACCGACGTGGAGGGTAAGCTGCGCGGCTTGGGGTTCGGGTACCGCGCCAAGTATATCTATCAGACGGCGGTGATGGTGGCCAAGGAGCGGGAGGCTGGGTGGTTGGATTCGCTATGTAATCCGGAGTGTCCGGCTTGGGGGGTGGAAGCTACCCCGGCGGGTGAGATGAAGCCGGAGGGGAGAGAGGGGTATCGCGAGGCGCATGAGAAGTTGCTTGAGTTGCAGGGGGTTGGGCCTAAGGTTGCGGATTGTGTGTGCTTGATGGGGTTGGGATGGGGAGAGGCGGTTCCGGTTGATACGCATGGTTTGTTACCTCGGTTGCTCCGTTTGTCATGTCATGGTAGGATTGCTAATGGTGTTTGGGTTTAGTCTGGCAGATCGCGCAGAGAGACTACAAGTTCGGAAAGGGAGGAAATAAGTCCTTGACGAAGGTTACTTATGATGCTGTGGGAAACCACTTTCGCAAGCTCTGGGGCAAAGAAGCGGGGTGGGCGCATAGTGTGCTGTTCACGGCGGATCTGAGGACATTCTCGGATCGGTTGGCTGCGACTACGTCGAAGAAGGTAGATGTGAAGGTAGAGAAGGATGATAAGGAGGGTGTCGAGGTGGAGACAAAGGTCACTACAGCTATAGCTGTACCAAGTAAGAGACCTGCAGATGATGAGGGAGTGAAAGTCGAGAAAGAAGAAGATGATGAGACCAAGGGAAAGGAGGAGCTGAACACCATCGTACAAGCTTCACAGACAACGACAACAAGAAGGATGTCGAAGCGACTCCGGAAGAAATAATTATACCCTGTATATTAGCTTTCTATAACTAATCATATCTTAGACCTAGATTACCGTATGCTTCATAACCATATTACTTGCTATCTTCGTGGTTTGATACCAATAGCATATTAAGAACCCAAAGCAAACTTGATCTCATTATACATACTATGTCTTAAACCCTCCCCAGTTAAATGAGACAATATCAACCAAGTCCCCCTCAAGGCAACAGTAGTATCTACAGTAGCGTCCAACCCCATTGTCTCAAACATTTGCATATACCCCTCACCAATAGTAACAACCGAACCCATCAAGATCATCAAGCAACCACCCGAACTGGATTCTTGTATTTTTGTGGATTGGGTAGTAGGAAGGTAACTGCTACTGCTACTTTGTACTGTTTGTACTATTATCCAGGGCTACTCCTTCGGATTACTCCTTTGGGATAACCGACAAGGCCAGCCCGGGTTTATATGTACTAGATAGGTATGTATTGCGGTGGTCGGTGTCTTTCCCGTATTGGGAAATCTAATTACTACTTCGTTTTCAAGTACGGAGTAACAGTTAGTCATAAGTAGTTCTATGAA